TTAGAAAATATTCTGAAAATTCATACTCTAATAAAATAGAAAATATCAAAGATATCAACAAATTTCTAGAGACATACAATCTACCCAAAATGAATGAGAAGGTCATACCTGATTTAAACAGATCAATTTCAAGTAATGAAATAGAAAACACCATCAAAAGCCTACCAACCAAGAAAAGTTCAGTACCAGATAGAGTTCTACAAGACTTTCAAGAAAAATTAACACCAATACTCCTCAAATTATTCCATGAATTAGAAAAGGAAGGAACCCTTCTAAACTCATTCTATGAGGTCAGTATCACCATGGTACCAAAACCAGACAAAGACACATCAAAGAACGAAAACTTCAGACCAATATCCCTCATGATCATAGATGCAAAAATTCTCAATAAAATTCTGGAAAATCGCATACAAAGACATGTTTAAAAGATAGTACACCATGATCAAATGGGATTTATCCCAGGGATGCAGGGTTGGTTCAACATATGGAAATCAATAAATGTAATTCATCAGATTAATAGACTTAACAACAAGAATGATATGATCATCTCAATAGATTCATAAAAAAAAGCATTTGACAAAATACAGCACACCTTCATGTTCAAAACTCTAGAAAAACTAGGGATAGTAGGAACATACTTCAACATTGTAAAAGCTATACATGCTAAACCCAAAGCCAGCATCATTCTAAATGAAGAAAAATTGAAAGCATTCCTGCTAAAGTCTGGAACAAGGCAAGGATGTCCTCTTTCACCACTTCTACTCAACATCATCCTTGAAACCCTAGCAAGGCCACTAGAGAAAAGAAGAAAAATAAAGAAATACAAATAGTTAAAGAAGAACTCAAAATATCACTATTTGCTGATGACATGATTCTATGTCTAGAAGATCTAAAAAGTTTCCAACAGAAAACTTCTAGAACTAATAAATGAATTTAGCAAAGTAGCAGGACATAAAATCAACACCCATAAATCAAATGTATTCCTATACATCAGCAGTGAAGCCACTGAAAGAGAAATTAGAAAAACTACTCCATTCACAATAGCCTCAAATAAAATAAAATAGCTAGGAATCAACCCAACAAAAGAGGTGAAAGACCTAAACAATGAAAACTACAGAACACTAATAAAAGGAATTGGAAAAAACCTCAGAAGATGGAATGATCTCCCATGCTTCTGAATAGGCAGAATCAATATTATCAAAATGACCATACTACCAAAAGCATTATACATATTTAATGCAATTCTAGTTAAATTCCCAATGACATTCTTCATTGAAATTGAAAAAGGAGTCATGAAATTTATTTGGAAAAATTAGAGACCCAGAATGGTGAAGGCAATCCTTAGCAAGCAAAGTAAAGCAGGAGGTGTCACAATACCAGAACTTAAGCTATACTACAGAGCTATAGTAACAAAAATGGCATGGTATTGGCACCAAAATAGACTTGTAGACCAAAGATACAGAATAGTAGACACAGAGACAAACCCACACAAATATGGTTATCTCATACTAGACAAAGGTGCCAAAAAATTTACTGAAGAAAAGATAGCCTATTCAACAAATGGTGCTGGCAAAACTGGAAATACATATGTAGAAAAATGAAATTAAACCTCTATCTCTCACCCTGCACAAAAATCAACTCAAAGTGGATCAAAGACTTAGGCACTAGAACAGAGACCCTGCAGCTAATAAAAGAAAAAATAGGCCCGAATCTTCACCATGTCAGCCTAGGATCTGACTTCCTTAACAAGACTCGTAGAGTCCAAGAAGTAAAATCAAGAATCAATAAATAGGATGAATTCAAATTAAAAAGATTCTTCTCAGCAAAGGAAACAATTAATAACATGAGAAGAGAGCCTACAGATTGGGAGAAAATCTTTATCATATGCACCTGCGATAAAGCACTAATCTCTAAGATATATAAAGAACTCAAAAAACTTAACACCAAAAAACAAATAACCCAATCAATAAATGGACTCAGGAACTGAATGGACACTTCAAAGAAGAAATACAATTGATCAACAAATATATGAAAAGTGTTCAACATCTATAGCAATTAGACAAATGCAAATCAAAACTACTATAAGATTTCATCTCATCATTATCCAAAGTACATGTATAATGACACGAATTGGTGTCAACATACTTAATATACAACCAGATATATAAAAAAATGTGCTGTATATGTGTAATAAGAAATGTAATGCATTCTGCTTACATTTATTTTTTAAAAAAATTAATAAAAAAATATTGCATCTTACTCCTGTAAGAATTGCAGTCATCAAGAATAGACTATTATTAAGATAGTAGAATGAAACAGACATTAGGATGTTTTAAAACTGTGTATTAAGATATTAGAATGTTTTAAAACTGTGTATTCAGATAATAGAATGAAACAGACATTATAAATGTTGGTGTGGATGTGGGGGAAAAGGTAAATGTTGGTGAGGATGTGGGGGAAAAGGAACACTCATACGTTGCTGATGGGACTGCAAATTGGTGCAACCACTATGAAAAGCAGTATGGAGATTTCTTAGAAAACTTGGAATGGAACCACCATTTAGCCTAGTTATCCCACTCCTTGGTTTATACCCAAAGGACTTAAAATCATCATACTATACTGATGCATCCACATCAGTGTTTATAGGAGCCCAATTCATAATAGCTGGACTATGGAACCAACCTAGGTGTCCCTCAATAGATGAATGGATAAATAAAATATAGTATATATACTCAATGGAATATTACTCAGCTTTAAAGTAGAATGAAATTATGGCATTTGCCAGTAAATGGTTGGAGTTGGAGAATGTCATGCTAAGCAAAATAATCCAATCCCACAAAACTAAAGGCAGAATGTTTGCTCTAATTCACAATAAAGCAGAGGACATTAGGGAAGAATAGCTTTACCTTAGATTAGGTGGAGGGAAGTGATGGGAGGGGAAGGAAAGAGATATGGGGATAGGAAAGATAGTAGAATGAAACAGACATTATTCCTGTATGTATGTGACTACATAACCGATATGATCCTGTAACATGTACACTCAGAAAAATGAGACATTATATCCCACCTATATATAATATATCAAAGTGCACAAATGCATTCTACTGCTATGTATAACTAATTAAAACAAATTTAAATTTAAAAAAAAATAAGAAAAGAACCTTGGGTGTGCGTACAGTCACATAGAAATGTTTGGAAGTAGAAAGAAAGCAGTATTAGGATGTTTTAAAACTGTGTATTAAAATAAAGCATACAGGGGCTGCAATTATAGCTCAGTGGTAAAGTTCTTGTTTAGCACAAACAAGATCCGGAATTTACTCCTCAACACTAGGAAACAATAATAATAAATAAAATGAAACTTAACATACATGTAGAAATATGCACAAATTAGAGAAGTTAGCTTGTTGAATTTTGGCAAACTTAAAATCCCCGTATAACCACACCAGAGGAAAAAGCAGAATATCACCCTGGACCACAGGTGATTCGCGTGTGTGTGTGTGTGTGTGTGTGTGTGTGTGTGTCCGCGCACGCGCACATGCATGCATGTATCATTATTTCACTTCAAATATATAAACATTATTTTTTTAAAGTCCAGAGTTTCTTTTTTTAAACCAGGGGTCAGCAATCTATGGCCTGAGGGCTAGGTGCCATGTTTTTGTAAATAGTGATATTGCAGCATAGCCATGCCATTCATTTTCATATTGGCTATAGCTGTAAATATGACCTCATGGTCATGAAACCTAATTTACTCTCTCACCCTTTAGAGGAAGAACTCTGCTGATCCATGACCTAAATCCATGACCTAGTTGCTCTAGATCCTAGAGTACCTGTGATATTAAGTAACAGGTTTACTGGAAATTAAACCATTGAGAACAAGTGTGATAGAATTTTAGTTATTAAAGTAATAAAGTAATACTTTGCTACTCCAGCGTTTATTTAATGGATGTTATCAATGAATTGAAAAATTTCATCAATCACATTTCGTTTGAGGCTCACTTCACCTAAACTTGCTAGAGACATAAAAAACCATTTACTCAAGATATATGCCTCTGTCTTTTCACATATTTGTTCTATGTTAATGACATAGGTCACTCACAACAATGTGCCCTCATATCTGTAGGCCACAAGTAGAAAATTAAAAAGTTCTCCTGAGTTTTCCTTCACATAAAATCCTACAACTAGCCCCTTAATAATGAAATGGGGGTGGGGGGCTTGGGTTGTGGTTCAGTGGTAGAATGCTTGTCTAGCATGCGTGAGGCATTGGGTTTCATCTTTGGCACCATATAAAAATAAATAAATGAAATAAAGATGTTGATAGAATTATAGAGTCCATCTACAGCTAAAAAAATTTAAAAAGAGTGAAATTGAGTCAAACCTATGTCCATCTACATGCTAAGTACTCATTCTACCATTATTATTTTTAAATAAAGAAAAGAAGGAGATGGAGAGTTCTTCTGAAATTATCTAAGTAACTTCCTACACCCATATGCTAGGACTTCTTCATATAAAAACCCAGGGTAAATAAATAATGTCAATATTTGCTATGATTTTTATGTAGAAACCTCATGACCAAGGTGATGAGGCCTTAGGGAGACCATTAGGTCATGAATGTGGGGCCCTCATAAGTGGGATTATTGCCCTTTAAGAAAAAAAAAAAACCCAGAGATCTCCCTTGCCGACTCCACCAGGGGAGAACACATCAAGAAGGTGACATTTAGGAAGCAGGAAGTAAGTCTTCACCAGACATTAAATCAGACTGTGCCTTAATTTTGGACTTTCTAGCCCCTAGAAGTGTGAGAAATAAATGTGTATAATTTGTACTCCATTCTGTCTGTGGTATCCTGCTATAGCAGCGCCAGAAGACTAAGGCAATATCACAGATATTACTACAACTATATGAGAATGAAAGCCTTATAAAATGTTATCTTGCTCTCAAGATTTATAGACCATTCTAAATATGCAATGCTTTACTTTGATTTTTGTTTATTTTTTAAACACAGGATCTCACTATGTTCCCAGGTTGACTCAAACTCCTCAGCTCAAATGATCTTCCTGCCTCAGCATCCTGAGATTTTGGAATTATAGGTATGTATCAACATGTCCAGCTAATACAGTACTTGGAAAAGAAAAAAATATCTTTACCACAGAATGGTATTTAATTAACACTATAATTCTATTTGTTGATAACTTTGCATAAAATCAACTCATTTTCTTAATTGAAAGTGTACTCTCTGTCAAGGATTTGAACAGAGTCTCAGAGTATGCCTAAAGTCTATAGAGAATGTATTGAAAATACTGTATACAAGTATTTTTTGCAAGGATAGGTATCAGATTTTAAATCATTATAAATAAATCTGGAATGCTCAAAAGATTACATGAAACTGTATCTGAATTTTTCCATCTACTCATCCCTCACACTCTAATTCCAACCATCTAACCCTAAATTTACCCTTTTCCCTGATTTTCTCCAGATAGAACACTATGTACATAGGAAAATCAAAATGTTAATGAAGACTCTTCCCACATCATCTATCTCATTGCCCCTCTCATTGGCTCTCTATACCCTTCATGTAGTTATTTTTCTTCCTCACTGTTTCCCTTCCTTCTTTGACACAAAATATGATAATAAAGAAGATATGTTCCTTCTCAAATAGGCACAGTGGTGAAGAAAAATATATAAAAAAATAATTGCAGTAAAACAATGTAAGTATGTTGGTGCCAATTCGGATAAGTGCTATGGAATTAAAGAAGGATAATAATTTTCTCTGGAGGATGTCACCCTGGAAGTGGCATTAGGAGAATCTTGGAAGGTGATAAGTTTAATAAGCACCAAGGGGTGACAGAGAAATGGGAGCAGGGTTATGTGAGGGGAGAGACTCGTGGGCAAAGGCAGAGAAATTAAGAGTGTGATATATTTAGGGAATGTTAATAGTGGATATAATTCCTAAAGGAATAAACTTTTATGTTATGAGTTTTGTTTTTCAGTGATAGGGGATTGAACCCAGACCCTTGAGTGCTGCCACTGAGCACATCTCCAGTTCCTATATTTTGTTTTAAAATTTATCTACTAGAACCACTTGATGATCATCCTTGAGGGGAAAATGTGCTAAAAGGAAAAGGTAGAAAAAAAACTTTGATTTAATTTTAACGAGAACAATGAAGACATAGAATTGTTAGACTGGAGAACAATTCCTTTTCCAGTAACAAATATTTTTTTAAACCTGAGGTGAACAAACAAAATTCCCTATAATGGAAGATGAAATTAAAACCTTCCACGATAAACAAAAGTTAAAAGAATTTGCAGCTAGAAAACCATCTCTTCAAAACATCCTCAGCAAATCATTACAGGAAGAGGAAATGGAAAATAACAATGAAAACCAACAGTGGGAGGTAGTACAGTAAAGGGAAAAAATAATCAAAGAGGAAAAACAAACCATGTTAAGTAACATAAATAAACAAATATGGCTGGAAGAACAATCCATATCTCAATAATAACCCTAAATGTTAATGGCTTAAACTCACCAATTAAGAGACACAGGCTAGTAGAATGGATCAAAAAAAAAAAAAAAAAAAAAGATCCAACAATATGCTGCCTACAGGAGACGCATTTGATAGGAAAAGATATACATAGACTTAAGGTGAAAGGTTGGGAAAAATCATATCACTCATATGGACTTCGGAAACAAGCAGGAGTGTCCATACTCATATCAAATAAAATAGATTTCAAGCCAAAGTTAATCAAAAGGAATAAAGAGGGACACTACATACTGCTCAAGGGAACCATACACCAACAAGACATAACAATCATAAATATATATGCCCCAAACAATGGTGCAGCTATGTTCATCAAACAAACTCTTCTCAAGTTCAAGAGTCTAATAGACCACCATACAATAATTATGGGAGACTTCAACATACCTCTCTCACCACTGGAGAAATCTTCAAAAACAAAAGTTGAATAAAGAAACTATAGAACTCAATAATACAATTAATAACCTAGACTTAATTGACATATATAGAATATACCACCCAACATCAAGCAGTTACACTTTTTTCTCAGCAGCACATGGATCCTTCTCAAAAATAGATCATATATTATGTCACAGGGCAACTCTTAGACAATATAAAGGAGTAGAGATAATACCATGCATCTTATCTGATCATAATGGAATGAAACTGGAAATCAACGATAAAAGAAGGAAGGAAAAATCATGCATCACTTGGAGAATGAACAATAGGTTACTGAATGATCAATGGGTTATAGAAGACATCAAGGAGGAAATTAAAAAATTCTTAGAGATAAATGAAAACACAGACACAACATATTGGAATCTATGGGACACAATGAAAGCAGTTCTAAGACGAAAATTCATTGCTTGGAGTTCATTCCTTAAAAAAAAAACCAAACAAATTAATGATCTCACACTCACTCCAGTAAGATTGGCAGCCATTATGAAGTCAAACAACAACAAGTGCTGGCGAGGATGTGGGGAAAAGGGTACACTTGTACATTGCTGGTGGGACTACCAATTGGTGTGGCCAATTTGGAAAGCAGTATGGAGATTTCTTGGAAAGCTGGGAATGGAACCACCATTTGACCCAGCTATTCCCCTTCTCAGTCTATTCCCTAAAGACCTAAAAAGAGCATACTACAGGGACACTGCTACATTGATGTTCATAGCAGCACAATTCACAATAGCAAGACTGTGGAACCAACCTAGATGCCCTTCAATAGATGAATGGATTAAAAAAATGTGGCATTTATACACAATGGAGTATTACTCTGCATTAAAAAATGACAAAATCATGGAATTTGCAGGGAAATGGATGGCATTAGAGCAGATTATGCTAAGTGAAGCTAGCCAATCCCTAAAAAACAAATGTCAAATGTCTTCTTTGATATAAGGAGAGTAACTAAGAACAGAGTAGGGAGGAAGAGCATGAGAAGAAGACTAACATTAAACAAGGACGAGAGGTGGGAGGGAAAGGGAGAGAGAAGGGAAATTGCATGAAAATGGAAGGAGACCCTCATGGTTATACAAAATTACATACAAGAGGAAGTGAGGGGAAAGGGAAAAAAACAAGGGGGAGAAATGAATTACAGTAGATGGGGTAGAGAGAGAAGATGGGAGGCGAGGGGAGGAGGGATAGTAGAGGATAGGAAAGGCAGCAGAATACAACAGACACTAGTATGGCAATATGTAAATCAGTGGATGTGTAACCGATGTGATTCTGCAATCTGTATATGGGGTAAAAATGGGAGTTCAAAACCCACTTGAATCAAAGTGTGAAATATGATATGTCAAAAACTATGTAATGTTTTGAACAACCAACAATAAAAATTAAAAAAAAAATTCCCTATAACTATTTTAAAGTTGGTTCTGTATAATAAAACTTTATAAACTCAACATTACATATCAATAGTCTTTGGGATGATTAAATTAAATATCTGAATATCCTAGAAAAGTCTATAATTCAAATTTTTGATGATAAGACATAGCATGAATATAAATTCAAATTGAAATATACAATATGTAAACATCCTAATTTGCTAAGCCTCTATTGTTTTTGAAGCTGAGAAGTATCTCAGTATTATCTCAGGCACTTGTTACAATAATGAAAGTTACCTAACACACTAGATATACACAACTATTCCAAGCTCTGAAAACAGGAAGTATTTCTGGTCCCAAGCATTTTGGATAAGGGATACTCAATCTGTACTTACTCTTTTTAACACCAGTTCATACTATATAATCTCCAAAAAACAAAACCAAAAAATAATCTATTTTTACATGGCTGGTGATTAGATGACATGAGGACTAAAAATGTCAGCAGTCCTTCCCCAAAATGTGACTCATGGACAGCAGCAGAAGACCAGTTTCCTTTAACGTAGTATATAGAATGGGAAGTGGTGGATAGCATTATATATAGCAGCATTATGTAAAACTAAATGAAGAAATTCTGGGGGTGTGACTCAGTGGAAAACTGCATGTTTAGCATATGCAAGGCCCTGGCCTCAATTTCCAGAAATGAATAAATTAAACAAATAAACCTCGACAAAGATAAGTCATCAAGGGAAATTGGAATAAACAAGGCAGAAGGAAACTCAGGAGGTAAATTTGAGAGGCCAAGGGAAAAAAAAGTTAAGGAAAAGGGGATAGTCAACATGGTCAAAAATTTCAAATAGTTTCACTGGAGTTATAGGTTAGTGGCAGAACACTTACTTAGAATGAGGCTTTAGGCATGGTCCCCTACACCTCACATGCCAAAAAAATTTTCAACTTTTTTCAATGGATGAATACTAAATATTATAGGATTTTGTAAGAAGGAAAGTACAGTCACTCAATCAAAGAAAATATAAATGAAATTGATTTAACTACTATGTACACATATAGATGAGTCCCATATATCAACATGAAAGCAACTTCAGTAGATTGAGTAAGAAATGCTCATACCAGAATAGTATTTGTTAAGAAATAAATAAAAAATTAGAATCTGGGTATAAATTTGTTTGCAAGGGCTGTCATAAACCAACAGAAATTTATTTCCTAATGCTGTAGTTCAGAAGGTTAAAAGTGCAAGACCAAGATATGACAGAGTTGGTTTATTCTGAGGCCTCTCTCCTTGGCTTACAGATGGCCATCTTCTTATGTCTTCACATAGTTCTTTCTCTCCGTGTTCTAATCTCCTCTTCTTGTAATGTCACCTGTTATTTTGGATTAGGGACCACCCATATTACCTTGATTATATCCACAATCAGGAGCCACTTGTCAAAAGAAACTAACTTTATTTTTAGAACCACACACGCCAAACAAAACAGCCTCTCAGGAAAAACCCTCAGAGCCTCAACTGCCACCACCGGCTTTCCACAAGCCTCTCTCTCCCTCACAAGCTTCTCTCCACCTCCCGCAATCCTCCTGCTCTTGAGGCCGATTGGCTGGGTCACGTGGGCGGAGCCAAAAAAGTCCCCCAATGAGCAGCTCCGTGGTCTGAAAGGGCAGGGAAACAGCCCAATGAGCATCACCGCAGAGGAGCCAATCAGCTAGATGTTGCTGGGGCCGCTGTGAGCCAATCATAGCAGGCAGCTGGAAGTTTGCTGGCAGCTGGAAGTTTGCTGGGGCCCCTTTGGCTGTGGCTCTCAACATCTTTAAAGGTCATGCTTCAAATACTTATTCCGAGGTCACTGGATTCAGGATTTCAATATATTAATTGAAGTAGTGACACAGTTCAGCCCACATCAGGTCATGTGTCCTTTATTTTTTAGAAGTTTCATTATAAAGCTAAAGTCAAACAAAAAGTTGAAAACAAGCAGATTTAAAGAAAGAAGATAGGATTTAAAGAGAAATTTTATACTCAGAAGACAAATGTACTGAAAGAAATTAGATAATTACATATGTGATTCATCAGAGAGGGTGTAGAAGTGGCACATTATGGCTCTCAAAAAAAGATTCTTGAGAGAATAAACAGTGACCATAATGATAACGGTTAAGCCAAGACTTAATTACAGAATTTCTGTAGCATAGTAGTGAGCTCTTATTTGCTATGAATGAAGAAGACAGATGTGAGGAAAAGACCTTGAGGAGAGAGGGAAAGAATTGGAATACCTTTTGAGGCGAATTAATGAAAAAAAAAAAGAAACTGAGTATTGAGTATTAAAAGGGCTAAATCATAATATATAAAAGCACAAATGAATATGGAAGCATTGTATTAAAACTACTATGCACACCAGATCAACTGGAGGCATATTTTTTAATTAATCCAGAATTTAGGATGGACCAAATTATTTTATTTTAAAAAGTTTTAATTAATTAATTAATCTTTGGTGATGCTAGGGATGGAACCCAGGGCTTCTCACATGTTAGGCAAGTTATAACTCCAACCTCTGGAACTATTTTAAATTAATATTTGTTTCATTAGAATTTTTCATTTTCAGGTTTGTCTTAATTGCTTAATTTAAATATTGATTTTAATTGAAAATTATGGCTTAGAATTGGAAAAATGCTTCATTAATCATCTATTCCTATGTATTCAAATTAGCTCAAAACTTGGGACTCGGGCTGGGGATGTGGCTCAAGCGGTAGCGCGCTTGCCTGGCATGCGTGCGGCCCGGGTTCGATCCTCAGCACCACATACAAACAAAGATGTTGTGCCTGCCGGAAACTTAAAAATAAAATAAATAAATAAATATTAAAAAAAAAAACTTGGGACTCAAAACAATAAACAAGTATTAACTTGCCATTTCCCTGAGTCATGAAATCTGGGTATAGTTTAGCTGGGCACCTCTGACTGAGGAACTCTCATAAGGCTTCCATCATTCTGTCTGCCAGGACTATGGTCTCATCCAAAGGCCTGGGGGCACGCAAAGGGTCCACTTCCAAGGTTATTGATATGGTTGTCTACAGGATTCAGTTCCTGAGGCATTGTTGGAGATAAGGAACTCAGTTCCTCCAGAGCTGTCAATGGAAGCTCCTGCCTCTCTAAATGGTTACTAACAACAACAACAAAAAAATGTCTTTAGGTAAGGGCCTGGCAGTAAAGAGAATTAAGGCAGATGAATAATTAAAGGTTTTAGGTATAGTTACAATTTAGGGGATTTAGGGCCTATGATGAAGATGAAGCTAGAG